ATCTTTTGTTATTATTTCAGGGTTTGAGCTAATTTTTGTCACCACCTAAGGCAGTAATTTGGCTGGGAGGGTGGCAGAACAGAGAGGGAGGATAAAACTGGGTTTGAACCGCCTGCTCTGTGGACTACAGAGAGGCTCACTGGCTTTGGCTTGCATGGATTTCAGAATAATGTGCGCTGGCACCCGTGAGATGTGCAGAGATTTGGGAGGTTTTCAGCTTGTCAAGATGTGGGAACCAAGCTTCATTGCTCTGCAGCAAGTTGGACTCAGGCAAATGGCTAATTTGGTAGCTGACAGATCTAAAGGAAGGCCAAGGGTTAAGCCCCAAAGTGAGAAAGTATTATAAGTGTAGAAAAATTGGATGTTTTAAAGTGAGAATGTCACAGACCTCTGGGGCAGAAGCGATCTGATAAATATAGTTCTCTCAACAGAAAAAAAAACGCTAGGACTTTGCTCGTTGCAATAAAGGAAATCATTGGGCTGAATTAATACCACTCAAATTTTCATCAAATGGCATCCCCCACCCCTGTTGGGAAATGAGAAGGGGGGTCTGGACCCGGGCACCTCAAACAATGAGGGCATTCCCTGTCTGGGTTGCAACTCCTTCAGGGGGTGGGTTTCTGAGACTCATTGATTCCAGCTCCCTCCAGTAGCAGAAACACTTGTAAGCACAGGATTCCATCTCCCAGTCAGAGAACGGGTTACATTATTGAGAGAACAAACACACTAAGATTCTCAACTATTTTGGGGACCTCACAGTTAAGTAGATTACGTAATATCAATTTTTGCAAAAAGTCATCCAATTTGTTATGGCATCACGTGGTTCCAGAGCCGCTGACTAGATCACGCGAAACCCAAGTGCAGTGGCAATGGTATAAGATCTTTGGGTTTTTCTAACCAGGGAGAATATATTGTTTCATTGTTGTTATTCCTGTAATGTACAATTCCTCTACTTAAAGGAGAAACAAGGAATCGGGATTTGAAGTACAACTACACAGGAAATTTATCTATCACAACCCATGGCATCTAATAGACCCACTTGTTTAGTGTAAATTGAAGAAAGAAGTTTTGTGGCTTGAGGATATGGAGCACAGATTATCTCTGTGGTAATAGATCTTGAAGATTGAGCCTTTCTTTGTTGTGCTATTGCACGTAGAAGGATAGTTTCTGATTATTTTGTGCCTTCTGTTGATTGGAAAGAGCCTGTCTCATTATCAGTGGAATTATTTACCCGCAGTAATTAACCAAAGAGGCAGAAGCTGAGTTATGAGCCAGGAGATGCTCAGCAACAGCATGCCTCCTGAGTACAGCTACAAAAGCCTTTGCTTTTGTTTCGGTTGATTTACTTCAACTGGACGAGGGTATGCTTGTGTTTTCACAGGAAATGAACAAACCGTGGTGGGTGCCTCTAAGGTGTGTGAGACTCATGGAACCAGAGACTGGAGAGACCCATGGATCCCAGCTGTGGGCCTGGCTCCTGCAGTGCGAGCCATGAGCCATGAATCTGATCTGTTTGGGGTATGGAATAAACACTAATGGTACTGAAGGCTGTACAGCCTGAATTGCTTTGACAAATTAATTCAAACAAAAAGGGTGTTGAGGCTGTTCTGGGCCTTCTTGACTGCCGTGTTCTTCCCCACCTTCTGCTTCTTGTCTTCCTCTCTATTCTAAGGCTTTCCTTTAACCCCTGTGTCCCGTAGGTCCCAGTCGCAGCTGAGGCTTGTTGGGGGAATGGTGCTGGCAGGTGGCTACTCACCAGGCATACACTGAAGAACCTCCTCCCCATCCTGTCTGTCCTTCCAGGTCCCTGGGGTTGTGCCGGTGAGTGTCCCTGAGGCGCAGAATGAGGAGAGGCAAAGAAATAGGCTCAGAGTGGTAGCTGTTGGTTAACAAGGAGGTTCCTGCAGAGGGAGCGTCAAGGCCCTGTGCCGCTGTCCCCGGGGCCGGAGGGGTTGCCCAGCATGCCCACTGGCCGGAGACAGGGGACTGACCCACTTGCTCCGAACCTGCTTCTGAAGGTAAAATCCTTACAAATGAGGAGCAGAGCTTCGATGGAGGAAATAAGAAAGGCAGAAAGCTTCACGTGGGAGGGCTTGGGGCAGTGACAGAGGGCTGACAAAGACAGCATTAAAAAAAGGCAGAATATAGACAGCCTATTTCTCTTAGGCTCACCCCATCCACCCCTACTTCACCCCCTTACCTACCACTGTTTTCAGGGTTAAAGCAATTTTAGCAAGATTTTAGGAACTGTGGGGAGATAGCTTGGATTTTCAGTAATCGGGGGAACATAAACAACCCCAAACGAACTCTGGAAGACGAATGTAGGACGTTTTTATGTTCCTTGTCATTTGGCTGTCCCTTTTCTCCTTCCCCAGACAACCCTGTCTCAGTGGGGCAGCACTTCTTTCTCAGACCGCTTGTCCCAGGGTCCCTGCCTTCCCCTAGTGAAAGAAGCTCCTGTCTCCACCTGTGGGCGTTGGGAGCATCAGCAGAGATGCTCCTCACACAGGGCACCAGCTTCTGCGGTCCGTCCCACAGACCCTGACCCACAGACAGATGAATAACGTACCCAGACACACCGATACTCAGTGGAACAGAAGCTAGGGGTCCTGGCCCCTCAGAGACACCAAGGAAGGTGCTGTAAAGAGTAGCCGCCACAGCCCCAACTAGCTGGCCCTGCAGACATTTATTAGCACAGTTTTAACAGCAAAGACTTTGAGTCAACACGCCTGTGGGTAATTAATCTGGTTGCCCTCACCCTGGGAGAGCAATCCTGCCCACGAGTGATCAAAGATTAGTTTTAGGACCACATGAGTAAATAAGCTCTTTAGATAAAGTCCTGTATGCTCCTATGTATCTATGTCCTGAGCTTTTAAGAGAACTCAGCTGCCTTCAGCCAAGACTTTTACAAAAGCTGTGCAAACTTCTTGGCTTTCCAAGAAGGTTTGTGTTTATTTCCTCTAAAATCTTTCCCTCCACCCTAACTGAACTCCCACATATTTTTATTAGAGATGGGGTTTCACCATGTTGGCCAGGATGGTCTCGATCTCATGACTTCGTGATCTGCCTGCCTCGGCTTCCCAAAATGCACCTAAGATTCTCCCCAGTGGCCGACTGACTGCCTCTCTTCTTCCCCCTTTCTTCTGCCTCTGAAAAATAGCACTTTCTGTCCTAGGCTACTAGTGCCTGGGTCACACACCAATCTATACCTCTTTTTTTTGTTCAGGTGCATTGTCCTGTTTTCCCTTTTGGCATGGGTTTATGCTGAACCTACCATGTATGGGGAGATCCTGTCCCCTAACTATCCTCAGGCATACCCCAGTGAAGTAGAGAAATCTTGGGACATAGAAGTTCCTGAAGGGTATGGGATTCACCTCTACTTCACCCATCTCGACATAGAGTTGTCAGAGAACTGTGCATATGACTCAGTGCAGGTATGCTATAAGCACAAAAAGAATAGAGAGAGAAGACCAGGGCTGAGGTAGTGGAATAAGCATGTGGGAGGGAGAGCCACCTGTACTCACAGTGAACTGAAGTCAAGTCCTAGGGGCATAAATGTTCTACTCTCTCTGTCCCTTCTCTTACCTCCATACCAAAATATTACCTTTCCTAGCTTTTTGTTGTTGTTGTTGTTGTAGACTCTTCTCTTAGGTAATGTCAGGAGACATTGAAGAAGGGAGGCTCTGTGGACAGAGGACCAGTAACAATCCCCACTCTCCAATTGTGGAAGAGTTCCAAGTCCCATACAACAAACTCCAGGTGATCTTTAAGTCAGACTTTTCCAATGAAGAGCGTTTTACGGGGTTTGCTGCATACTATGTTGCCACAGGTAAGGCTCACCCTTCTGCACGTGCCTTATTGACCCAGCTAAAAGATTAGAAGTGAGAAATCCGCTGAGCAACACGTTGAATGAGGATTCTGTTTGTAATTCATACAAAAAGTGTTGACTTGGCCTGAGTCCCTCCATAAATCACTTTTATGAAATTCAAATGCATGATCATATCTTAGTGGTGATGATGATAATGGTAATAACACATATTACATAATACACAGTAATTTATCGAGAGCCACTGTAAACTGGGTATGTGCCGGGGATTTTTCCTATTTTAACACAATCATCACTTTCACCCTTCAAGGTAGGTGTTATTTGCTCCATATAAAGATGAAGAAAATAAGGACTAGGAAAGTTAATAACTTGCCAAGAATCACACGAGGAATGTGTAGTATTTAAACCCATTCAATATATGGCATTTAAACCTTCAAATTCTGGGTACTTCTGTATCTCTCTCCAGGTTAAAATGAAGCTAGGACATCTCATAAAGCCAAACTATTGTTTAGATTTGATAGAAGGACCAACATCATATAAAGCAATGAATGTACTGATTCCTCCCTGCAGAAGACATCGTCATGATGTTTACCTTGCAGACTGTCATCCCTGGAGCTGAAACGCTCTGTACATGAGAAAAGTCAAGAATCTGTGACATTAAGAGCTCCCTAGGCCGGGCATGGTGGCTCATGCCTGTAATCCCAGCACTTTGGGAGGCTGAGGCAGGTGGATTACTGGAGGCCAGGAGTTAAAGACCAGCCTCACCAACGTGGTGAAATCCTGTCTCTACTAAAAATACAAAAAATTAACCAGGCATGGTGGCGGTGCTTGTGTTCCCAGCTCCTCGGGAGGTGGAGGCACGAGACTTGCTTGAACCTGGGAGGCGGAGGTTGCAGTGAGCTGAGATCACATGACTGTACTCCAGCCTGGGTGACAGAGTGTTTCTCTCTCTTTCTCTGTCACACGCACACATACTGCCCTCTAGCCTCAGTGACAGAGTGAGGCTATGTCACACACACCACACACACACACACACACACACACACACACAGCACTCCAGCCTCGGTGACAGAGTGAGGCTATGTCACACACACACACACGAGCTCCCTTATAGCTGTGTAGTGGTAGGGCTCAACTCTGGATCCATATGTATTACTCTGGATCCAGAGTAATACAGAATAATACCGGCCTGACATGCAATCCCGTGAGGGATCTTTAAGCAACAGGCCTTTCCTACTTTTTCTTACCCTTATGGTTTTGGGTTTAACCTCATTCTGCCTTCTTGGTGTTTTTTCTTGACCTCAGCCTCTCTCTACTCTTTGTAGACATAAATGAATGCACAGATTTTGTAGATGTCCCTTGTAGACATTTCAGCAACAATTTCACTGGTGGTTACTTCTGCTCCTGCCCCCCGGAATATTTCCTCCATGATGACATGAAGAATTGTGGAGGTGAGCTTGGTGTTAAGAGGGTTGCATGTTCTCTGGGATTTGGAATGGCTAAGGCCCCAGAAAGGGCTTTGTCCACCCTTCCAACTTCGATTAGGCCCAGCCTTCATTTGGCAGTTATTCCTTTTTTATTTTTAAATTTGCTTATTTATTTATGTATTATTTTTAAGAATTTCAATAGTTTTGGGGGTACTGGTGGTTTTTGGTTACATGGATGAGCTCTTTAGTGGTCAATTCTGAGATTTTATTGCACCTGTTACCCGAGCAGTGTACACTATACCCAATGTGCAGTTTTCTCATCCCACTTCCAACCGCCCCCAATGCTGAGTCCACAGAGTCCATTGAATCACTCAGTATTGGCATCTATTCTTAGTTAGTCATAAGCTGAGATGAAGCCACAAGAAGGGAGGAAGATAAGACTACAGGGTAAAGTTAGTTAATTGGAGAAGAGAGATAGATGTCTGTAAAAAGTCTACTGGGGGCTGTTCATAACCAGAAAAGGCTCCATCCTAAGCAGAGTGATGGAAACCTAATAGGGCTTGGGTGTTCCTGCTGATACGTACTGCATGTGTAATTGCTGCATCCCTCCAGTTAGGGCGGGGATCTCAGGTTAGTTTGAATGGAGGACTGTCAGTTTCTGAGAGAATGAATCATAGAATAGTGCAGGAATTCCTTTGCTTGACGCCGTATTTGATTCTCCCTTTCACTTTTTCTCCCTTAGTTAATTGCAGTGGGGATGTATTCACTGCACTGATTGGGGAGATTGCAAGTCCCAATTATCCCAAACGGTACCCAGAGAACTCAAGGTGTGAATACCAGATCCGGCTGGAGGAAGGGTTCCAAGTGGTGGTGACTGTGCGGAGAGAAGATTTTGATGTGGAACCAGCTGACTCAGAGGGAAACTGCCTTGACGGTTTAGTTGTGCGTGACGGTTGATTAATACCCCCACCCTCAACTTACACAAAGAGATCTCTCCCTGAAGAGAAAGAAAAATTTCTGAGGCAGGGTCTTGCTCTGTTGCTCAAGCTGGAGTGCAGTGGTGCAGTCAAGGCTCACTGTAGCCTTGACCTCTTGGGCTCAAGCAAGCCTCCCACCTCAGCCTCCTGAGTAGCTAGGCCCACAGGCGTGCGCCACCATACCCAGCTAATATATTTATTGTGATTATTATTATTATTTTTTACAGAGATGGGGTTTTGCTATGTTGCTCAGGTTGGCCTGAAACCCCCGGCCTCAAGCAAGGCTCCCACCTCGGCCTCCCAAAGTGCTGGGATTATAGGCGTGAGCCACTGCACTCAGCCTGAAGATAAAATTATCTTTTCTCCTGACCCTTATTTTCCTTCTTCTTGTTTTATGTGACATTTAATGCCTCTCTTATTTTTATCTCCCATCTTCCAATTTTACCTCTTTCCTTTAGTTCTTTCCCTCTTCTGATTTCATCATTTCGTTCAGTTTGTTGCAGGAGATCAGCAATTTGGTCCTTACTGCGGTCATGGATTCCCTGGGCCACTAAATATTGAAACCAAGAGTAATGCTCTTGATATCATCTTCCAAACTGATCTAACAGGGCAAAACAAGGGCTGGAAACTTTGCTACCATGGAGATCGTGAGTAACCTAGAAGTGCCTCTTTGGTTGGTGATACCAAAGTCCCCAAACAATGTGGGATCAAAGCAGGTAGATGATCTAGGCACAGTGGAAGTACCTGTGATCTCAGCTACCAGGGGAGGCTGAGGCAGGAGGATCCCTTGAGCCCAGGAAGTAGGAGTGTGAGTCCACTCTGAGCAACAGAGCAAAACCTTGTCTCTAAAACAAAACAAAAACAAAGCAACAATAATTTAAAAAACAGATAGATTGTTGTTCTGATAGTATCCTGAGATTCTCCACTTCCTCAGGAAAATCTAAACCAGTCAATGGTTGCTAGGAATGCCTCAATCCCTAGTAATCCTTTAACTAGACCTGAGAGTGCAGACAGTTTGGGGGTGGTTAGTTGGTAATGCCATATGATTTTAGACATCTGCTATATTGGAATGTTAAGCATCAGGAATGAGGACAACTGGATGATTTTAGAAAGTGTGAGAATGATGTAAATAGAATGAGAGTCTTCAACTATTTTGTAATTTTTTTTCCTGTCCCAACTTCTGTTCTTTCAAGCAATCCCCTGTCCTAAAGAAGACACTCCCACTTCTGTTTGGGAGCCTGCGAAGGCAAAGTATGTGTTTAGAGATGTGGTGCGGATAACCTGTCTGGATGGGTTTGAAGTTGTGGAGGTAAAGTACCCTCTTGGCTTCTCCCCAATCCCTGGCCCCAGATCAGGATGAGCGGACTGAAATTGTCCAGTTGTTTACCAATGTAAGTGTGTGATCAAGGTATAACGCCTTTCCCATAAACACGACAGCTTAAGATCTGTAGTTCTCCCTTATGAGTCATGGAGCTCCCTGGCCAGCTTGGCATTCTCTCTCTGCCTTCAGTCTTCTTGGGGAAGGGGAGTTGACACGTTAGGGTAGAGCTGTCTGTCAGCCTCATCTCCTGGGTGCTTTGGGTCAGGTGCTAAGATGTTCCCAAGCTTCTTGTGGTGAGGACTCCTCATGGATCCAAGGCCAGAGATCAGTTCCAGTTTTGATTTTGGTTTCCCATATCTCTCTTCAGAAATAAGTGGTGATGTTTGTTATTCTCCAGGGACGTGTTGGTGCAACATCTTTCCATTCGACTTGTCAAAGCAATGGAAAGTGGAGTAATTCCAAACTGAAATGTCAACGTACGTGTCTCTTCAAAGTGGAAGTCTTTCTTTTTCTCTCAGAGAGAATGGAAAGATCAGCACATCCAAATTCAGATGCATGGTTTCCTCTTAGGCATGTGAGGGAGTGGGTTGGGTTTTTGAAGGGAAGCCAGTCATGGAGGCTTTTCTAGTCCAGCCCCGAATCTGTTCCCAGGCCAACTAGATCGGCAAGTTTCTTTCCAAGAAAGGGGCTATGGGATAGGTCGAGTTAATAGCCCCATGTGGGTGCATTTGTGGCTTCCACTGGGCCTTCACCAATCGCTGAGAACCAGGCTCTTCACTGCGGCTTTCACGGGGCCATCTGAGTTGGCATCTCAGTGGGCCAGAGACCTGAGAATTGCCAGTTGGGGAGGATGGCCACAGAGAGGCTGGTGTGGGGAGGTTCATCCCAGGTGTGCCTGTGGATATGGGGTGGGGAAGTAGTGAGGATGAAACTGGCCCCATGACTCCTCCTTGGAGGAAGTGGCTGTCCTGACCATCGCTCTCCTTCCTTCGTCTGGTAGCTGTGGACTGTGGCATTCCTGAATCCATTGAGAATGGTAAAGTGGAAGACCCAGAGAGCACTCTGTTTGGTTCTGTCACCCGCTACACTTGTGAGGAGCCCTATTACTACATGGAAAATGGAGGAAATGGTAGGTTTCTTCTACTGGAGAAGAGAGAGAGTGAGAAGGTGTTGGAGGGTGAATAGCATAATCTGTCTGTGCCAGACAAATGAAGGCGATAGGACAGGCATTGTTCATCCCTTTGGCTTCATCCAAAGATACAGTTTTCATATGGAGCAGGGCACGCTCAGGGTAGCACCAGTCACAGGGAATCATAGAGGTCACCAGCTCAGCTTCACAGCTGCCGCAGGAATTCCCCTACAACGTCCATTTCATGGGATTACCCACCTTTGGACCAGTTATTTCATGTAAAACCCACAGGAGCAATGCCTCCCGCTTCAAGCCAGCAAGCTACACTGACTGGCTTTCTTGATATAGAGGCTTTGGTCGTGCTAGATGAAGGGCTGGATGAGACACTATACATTCTCTGCATTGCTTTGTATTTTATTTTCCTAGTTTTCCAATGCCTTCTTTCCTTCTGCTTTGGAGATGTTCCCTTTGTCTCCCCTGGCGGGCTAGAGGCCTGAGGGATTGGAGGAAGATATTTTTTTCTGGCTGATTTAATCTGATTTACTACTTGAATCCCAGAGGAGCTGAGGCTCTGAAGGAATGGGGCAGGCTGTGGGGGAATGGAAGAGGAAGGGAAGATGTGGTAGTGAGTGTGGCCTGTGTTCTCTGTGCTATTTCAGGGCAGTATCACTGTGCTAGTAATGGGAGCTGGGTGAATGAGGCGCTGAGCCCAGAGCTGCCGAAATGTGTTCCAGGTAAGGAGGGCCGAGGCTTGGGGAGAGATGATAGGCACGGGTGAATGGGAGTCACCTTCTGAAAGCAGCTGTAACCCTCTTGGGAAAGGACTGAACAATGGCCTGCCAGAGTCCAGCTCAGTGAGGTGGCAGTAGCACTGTGCCGTGGGCTGCCTGGGCTGTGGGGAACCTCCTCAGCTACACTGAAGCCAGGCCGACTGCAAGGAAATGTAAGCGTCAGCCAGCGACAGTTGGTGTCTGGTAATGTAGCTGCAACGAGAAGATACAGAACTGCTAAAAACAGGGCCTGAAAACTGAGAGTGAGTAATCAACATTCAGAAACAAGACTAGTTAAATAACCTAGTTATTATATTAAAAGTTTATATGGCAGCAAGATATCAAGGAATTCAAGGAACGAGGAAGATCAGAGTTGGGTAGCAGAAGGCTGGGGCAAATCCAGTAGGATGAAGACCATCCTGGTTGTTACTGAGAACTAAAGACCAAGCTTATTTGTTGTCTATATTATCTCATTCACGTCCTTGTAACAGCCCCGTGAGCGAGGTGTCATTAGTCTTATTTGACCGGTCAATGGGTGGGTGCTAGTTCACAGAGTTAGCAAGTTGCGAAGGCAGGCTTTGAGCCCAGGTCTGTCTAAGTCCAAAGCCTGTTGTGCTCAACTTGGAGTCCCTCCAGGCTGTCTAGTAAAGGATTTAGGTAAGCAGCTTCACTTGAATTCAGTTATTAGTATAACTGAATGGTAATGGCACCAGTCACTGGGAGTGACAGGTCAAGGCCAAAGAAGGAACCCCTGTCTACTTCCTAGGCTGACCTGTGGTTTACTAGGAGGGACCTAGGTGCAACTAGGACTCCAGTAAAGAAGGTGATTAAAGTTTGATCTGGGCATCTGAAGAAGGCAGAAAGCTTCCCTCCTCCACCATCTGTGTGAGAAAAGGGTTTCCAACACTGGCTCTTGTTTGGGCGCTGGCCTCACATGCCGAGTTGGGAGGTGCAAGGGGGACCCCTGCCTCCAGAGGGGCTGTGAGTCACACTGTGGATAGCGTGAGGCACCAGTGCATCTGGACTCAGCATCTGGATTCACACACTCCCTCTGGTAAACTGAGCTCTCCCATGAGCCTGTTATGACATCGGCAAAGCAGAGCGTTTAGGTAAGACCAGGGTGGGTCAGGTGTTGAGCTTGTTGACCAAATAGGGTTGACTATTTTGTACTAGAGAACCCTGCAACCTAGCAGGTAAAATTCTTTGAGTGGTTGGAGGATTTGCAGGAAGCCAGTATCATTTCTTGCTCCTTCCCCGTGTTTTTTTTTTAATTCCTTCCTAGTCTGTGGAGTCCCCAGAGAACCCTTTGAAGGAAAACAGAGGATAATTGGCGGATCCGATGCAGATATTAAAAACTTCCCCTGGCAAGTCTTCTTTGACAACCCGTGGGCTGGTGGAGCGCTCATTGATGAATACTGGGTGCTGACGGCAGCTCATGTTGTGGAGGAAAACCAGGAGCCAACAATGTATGTTGGGTCCACCTCAGTGCAGACCTCACGGCTGGCAAAATCCAAGATGCTGACTTCTGAGCGTGTGTTTATTCATCCGGGATGGAAGCTGCTGGAAGTCCCAGAAGCACGAACAAATTTTGATAATGACATTGCACTGGTGCAGCTGAAAGACCCAGTGAAAATGGGACCCACCGTCGCCCCCATCTGCCTACCAGGCACCTCTTCCGACTACAACCTCATGGATGGGGACCTGGGACTGATCGCAGGCTGGGGCCGAACAGAGAAGAGAGATCGCGCTCTTCGCCTCAAAGCGGCAAGGTTACCTGTAGCTCCTTTAAGAAAGTGTAGAGAAGTGAAAGTGGAAAACCCCAAAGCAGATGCAGGGGCCTATGTGTTCACTCCTAACATGATCTGTGCTGGAGGAGAGAAGGGCATGGATAGCTGTAAAGGGGACAGTGGTGGGGCCTTTGCTGTACAGGATCCCAATGACAAGACCAAATTCTACGTAGCTGGCCTGGTGTCCTGGGGACCCCAGTGTGGGACCTATGGGCTCTACACACGGGTACAGAACTATGTTGACTGGATAAAGACGACTATGCAGGAAAATAGCACCCCCAGTAAGGATTAATCCAGATACATCCCACCAGCCTCTCCAAGGGGCGTGACCAATGCATTGCCTTCTGTTCCTTATGATATTCTCATTATTTCATCATGACTAAAGGAAGACTCGAGCGAATGATTTAACTAGAACTTGATTGTTGAGATGCCTGGCTGGAAGTAGAGAGGTAGAGTTTGATCATAGAATTGTGCTGGTCATTCATTCATGGTCTGACTCCTTGGGGTCCTTTCCCCTGAGTACCTATTGTAGATAACACTATGGGTGGGGCACTCCTATCTTGCACTATTCCACAGGGATACCTTAATTCTTTGTTTCCTCTTTACCTGTTCAAAATTCCATTTACTTGATCATTCTCAGTATCCACTGTCTATGTACAATAAAGTATGTTTGTAAGCAAATTTTGGCTGACTTACCTCATTCCACACCAAACCCTCAGAATTATAGAAGGGGAGTGGGATGAGAAGGCTGTTATGTCACTGAAATTGGGCATCCAGCAACTAATATTTAATTTAATTGTCATGAAAACAGGGAATTCAGCTTTTCTTCTCTCTTCCAACTGAGATTTACTGAATATTGTGGATTAGTATGAAGATCACAAGTGTAATGCATCATATTCTAGTTTTGAAATTCATTAATACTTACCTGGCCAAAAAAAAAAAAAAAAAAAAGGAAAAATAAGGAAGAAAAGAAACTCATTAAATCTTATCGGGTGCATAGCTCACACCTGTGATCCCAACACTTTGGGAGGCTGGGGTGGGAGGAACACTGACCCAGGGGTTCAAGACCAATGTGAGCAACATAGGGAGACCCTGTCTCTACAAAAATAAAAAGTAAAAATTAGCTAGGCATGGTGGTGCTTGCCTTAGTCCTAGCTACTCAGGAGGCTGAGGTGGGAAGATCGCTTGAGCCCAGGAGGTCAAGGCTGCAGTGAGCTGTGATCATGCCACTGTACTCCAGTCTGGTCAACCAGAGTGAGACATTGTCTTGAACAAAACAAAACAAAAAACCCCCAACTTATTCAGAAGTCCATGTACAATAGTTTGAGTTGGCTGTTTAAGATCTTCTTTAAGTATAATGTTTTTCAATATGTCAACTGAAAGTTAATTTTCCTTTAATACTCACCTGTATCATGCAATATTATGACAACAAAAAAGAAAAACTACAGAAATTGAGCATGCTCTTGTCTGCTTTCCTGGTGGTTTTGATCAATTTGTGACAATGTTTTCATTAGATTGAACTCTGTACCAAGATGACATAGCAGAAAATCTCCCTTCTATTTTCTAGGGGAAGGAAAAGAAAATATTCCTCCTCCCAAAGAATGATTACTGATGAGAAATGACTACAGAATAGAGACTTAGCATTTTACAAACTGAGGACAGGAGAACTGTCTCAGGATGGTGGTTGCCCTAACAGGGTGTCTTAGGAAAGCAGAGGTCTGAGAAGAAGAGTTGAGGGGAAATCTGACCTGTTCACTGTGACACGTGGCTTTCAGGAGGGCAGTTTTTACCAGAAGCCAAAAAGGGTTTGTTTGGGCCCATCAAGAATGGACTTTGATAATTCATAGACCAAGAGGGCTAAATTCAACAGCGACCTTAGACTGGAGGGTAAACACGATGTGGTAACCAGAGGAATTCTAATTGAAGGGCCTGAAGAATTGAAGGGAATTACAACAGGAAGCCTCTGGGATGATTATATCGTCAACCAAGCAGCATAAAGTCACTGTGTCACCCCTGAATTGTATGCCTTGTAGCCGCCTCCTCACACTTCCTGTCATTGCAGGGGCAACGGAATTGACAGTGTGGCCTGGGCGAGAGTGTTTCGGTGACAGGAGGATTCTTCTAGAGATAAAAAGGCATTGGAGAAATATTAAGATTTAGAAACATGATCTGTGATAGAGATATTTTTCTTCTTTTTTTAATACTTGGGGTAATAGCAAAACATTAACCTGGAATCTGATAAGTAACAGAAAAAGGAAGTTCCTCCCTCTCAGAGAATCACCGGTCTATTTGGGTTCTGCCCTTGCTGATGGGCTGAGGTATTGGTGAAGAATTTCCCTCTTTGCTGCCGCCTTGTACAGTGTGACGGGTATGGGTTTTGGATCGTTGACTGTGCTGCAAGGTCATTTCTCTGGGTGAATGGCAGGGAGAAGAGCTAAATGAATCATCATCAGAGACTCAGGGAGAAGATCTAAATGAATCATCATCAGAGACTTCAGAGCTGGGAAGAGCTCATCACCAGGTCCTAGAGGGGCTAGAAAGTCATTCATTGTGTTTAAAGGGTATCCGTCATAGTACCTTGCAAGTTACTTGGGAACATATGTCCGCTTCTTCTGAAACTCAGGAAAGTAGTTACCTTTTTAAAGAAGGTGAATTGTCACTTTTCTTTGGTCAGAAGAAAATGGACTGGTGGGTCAGCAGCTCACGCCAGGGAGGAAAGACAATGTCCAGTGGTCAAGAGGAGTTGAAGCGAAGGAACCTACTTCAAACTGGACCAGCCCAGAAGGGGCTAGAAGGGATCCTGGGATCAGTGTTCCGGTCCCTTATTGCAAAAATGCCCCCACTATCCCCCTGGCAGGCATCCTGCTTTAGAGACGGGTGCCCAGCACAGAACATGTTTTGAGAGAACACATCCGTCCTATTCTTTCCCCGGAGCCAGGTCTCACAGTCCTCTCGATTAGCTATGGGCAGACGGACAAACCTGAGGTCATGAGCAATCTTCTCCTCCATGACCCCAAAGCCACTGACATAGCCCATCAAGCCCAGGTCATAGAAGGTCTCGTTGTCAGGGAGGCAGATGGGGAGGAGGTTGGGACCCAGGGTGACACTATTTTCCAGCTCCAGCAGGGCGATGTCCCCCTCAAAATTGTGGGACTCATCCTGACGGTAGTCTGGGTGGATGCTGACCCTGCGGATGGGGTGATTGGCCAGCTTCATGAGCTCTTCCACATTTGTGCGGCCCAGGAACACATCCAAGGGGACATTGCTTTGTGCATCGTGTTCCTTGGGATACAGGTTGTGGGCAGCCGTGAGGATCCCGCGGTTGCCCAGCAGGGTCCCGCCCCTGCGCCCGTGGATGTTGGTGAACACCTGCCAGGGGAAGTTGCCCATTTTGGCTTTTTGCCCTCCGATGATACGCTGCCTCTGTTCCACGGGGTGCACGGGCTTCCCACACACTGAGGGAGAGAGAGGGAAGACAAGGGCAAGTCAGCTCCGGGTCTCCCACCTCTTCCTTCTGCGGCCAGCCAGCTCCCCGTGTGCCCTCTCTTTTTGGCTTCTGTCTCTTTTCTCTTTTTCCTCCCATCTCGACACTTCCTTCATTGGCCTATTGACAGGCTCTTCTCCTTGTTCTTGTTTTTATTTTTATTTTTTGAGACTCCTTGCTCTGTGACCCAGGCTGGGGTGCAGTGGCGTGATATCAGTTCACTGCAACCTTTGCTTGCCGGGTTCAAGCAATTCTTGTGCCTCAGCCACTCTAGTAGCTGCGACTACAGGCATGTGCCACCATGCTTGGCTAATTTTTGTATTTTCAATAGAGGCTGGGTTTCGCCATGTTGGCCAGGCTGGTCTTGAACTCCCGACCTCAGGTGATTTGCCTGCCTCGGCCTCCCAAAGTGCTGGGATTACAGGTATGAGCCACTGCGTCTTGCCCCTTGTTCTTGTTTATTTCTTCCTAGGGTGTCTTCTGTTGTTTTTATTCTCTGATTTCCCATCTGCTTAGTGAAAATGCCGGCATTTCGGGACTGAATTCAGCACCCTTCCCCTCCCTCGCTTTCTCGTGGTATGTTCCCCTCTCCTCTCCTCTGTCACCTTTTTCTGGGCCATGCTGCTTCTGAGGACTTTCAGGCTGCTAACGATCCTGAGGATGGCCCCAGAGGGTTTCCACTCACCTGGCAAGCACCGAGGAATCTTCTCTCCCTTCTGTTCATTCTTCCAAATGCCCTGTGCTGTGCAGGTGTACAGCCCTGAAGGCAGAGGAGGCAAGAATCAAGTTGGGAGGTGATGGGTCAGAAAACTAGGTTGCAGAGGCCGGCAAGTACTGAGTGTGCTCGACGGGGAGAGGGGTAGGGAGGAACAACTTGGCAAGGGCCAAAGGTCAAAGGCTCAACTCTAGAAGGAAAAAATGTCAAGTGTTCAGAGGCTCTAGACCTATATTTTGTTTTAATGTCAAGTAAAAAAATCAGAATGCTTAACCATTAATATATGTTTGCTGTGATCCCTGTTTGTGAAAGTAGACATAAAAACCAGAAGGAATGTATCAAAATCTTATCAGTGATTGCGTCTTAGTCGTGGAATCATAGATGATAATTGTAGTTACGTCTTCTGATTGCTGAAAATGTGCCATGCTTCTTACTTTATCTGCATGATCTCATTTAACCACTACAGTGACACTTGCAGGTGTGTGTTACTGTCCTCATTGTGGATGAGGAAGCTGAGCTTAAATAATTTGCACAGGGTCACATAACTTCTAAGTGCCAGAACCAAGGTGCAAGAGGTTTTCTGACTCCAAAGTCCAGCTCTTAATGAATACCATTTATAATCCAGGTTTTTTTCCTCTTTTTTCTGTTTCAAACCTATAATGCATGTGATTTCTAATATTTAAAAAAAAGTTTGAAAAATACCCACTAATGAGTGAGAGTCATTTAGTAAAACTAAGTGCAAAAATCACAACCAGGTTTAGAGGGGAGAATGGAGAGGGGAGTTTCACTGAGTTAGCTGTAGTGGTCATGATGGTGGCAAAGACTGTGGTGTCGGTGTTGGTGGTGATGGTGGTGTTGATGTTGGTAATGGCGGTGGCAATTGTGATGTCAATGTTGATGATGACAGTGGTGTTGTTAATGGTGGTATTGTTAATGGTGTTAATGGTGATGGTGGTATTGGTGGTGATGATGGTGTTGGTAATGGTGATGGTGGTAATGGTGGTGGTGATGGTAATGGTGGTGGTGATGGTAGTGTTGGTGTTGGCAATGGTGGTGGTGGTGATAGTGGTGTTGGTAATGGTGGTGGTGATCATGGTAGTGTTGACAATGGTGTTGGTTATGATGATAGTGGTGATGGTGGTGATGGTGGTAATAATGGTAGTGGTGATGGTGGTGTTAGTAATAGTAATGAAATGTCGATTGTAGTGATGGCAGTGATGGTGGTGACTGCTGTTGGTGCTGTTGTTGATGTTGCTGTGTTGTTATAGTAGTAGTGGTGATGGCAATGATGGTAGCAGTGGGAGGTGTGGTGGAGGCAGTGGTGGTATTAGGGAGATAATGTGGTGGCAGTGAGCTGTCTATGTGATTTGAATCTTTTCTTTGCATGAGCTCCTCCTTCTTCAAACCTACTAGCTTCCTCTTTGCACTACAATTCAGGCCTAGGCCAGTGCCTGGCAGATGTTGGTAATGGTGGTGGTGATCATGGTAGTGTTGACAATGGTGTTGGTTATGATGATAGTGGTGATGGTGGTGATGGTGGTAATAATGGTAGTGGTGATGGTGGTGTTGGTAATGGTAATGGTATCGATTGTGGTGATGGCAGTGATGGTGGTGACTGTGCTGGCATTGATGCTATTGGTAGTGTTGCTGGTGTTGTTACTGGTAGTGGTGGTGATGGCAATGATGGTAGCAGTGGGAGTGTGGTGGAGGCAGTGGTGGTAGTGGGGATAATGTGGTGGCAGTGAGCTGTCTATGTGATTTGAATCTTTTCTTTGCATGAGCTCCTCCTTCTTCAAACCTACTAGCTTCCTCTTTGCACTACAATTCAGGCCCCTGAAGCCAGTGCCCTGGCAGATACCTTAATATGCATTCCCTAGGGATTCTACTGGGAGAAATCTCAGAGGATAACCCAATGGGATGGAAGGGAGAAAATTTCCATTTGCGTTGGTCTCTACTTTGCTCAGACCCTGCTGCCAGCTCTGGTCTGCATCTTGTAATATGGCTTGTGGCAGTAGTACTGGATATGGGCCTTGTAGGTATTCACCCCGATTGTGGTGGTGTAATGGAAGGCAGATTTCGGGGCTGCCCACAGTCCTTGACTTGGAGAGAACACAGGGCAGGGTGAGAGCTGAGAAAGACTGTGCTGGAACTTCAGTGGGGGGAGTGTGAGTTGTCTACCTGCAGAGCACGTTGAGAGGCTTAGAAAAGACAGTCAGTGGCGAGGGCCCTTACAATGGACAGGAGGGCCCTTACAGTGGACAGGAGTTGGGTGGTGTGAAATTCAGTTCTGGGTAGAGCCCATCCATCCCATTGAGATGAGGACTCACTGATTCCTGAGACGAGGGCTCACTGATTCCTGAGATGGGCCATAGGCATCAAAGGACAAGTCTCTTTGACCCTCCTCCAAGGGTGAGGGTCTGTTGGAAAGAGGCTTAGTCTGGACCCCTCCTTCTTTCTTGGCCCAGGTCCTCAAGGTTGGAGGTGGGAAGTCCCCAGGATCATATCCCTGAATTGTGACTTACTGTTGCATCTGGGCATGGCACGATGCCATGTGCCATCATCCTGGCAGACAGCTGTGAAGGAGTGCAGCACCTGGTTCCCCTGTTGAGCAGAGGAACAGGTGCCATCAGTGCCAAGAGGCAATGCAGGTCCCTTTCCTGCCCTTCCCACACAGGAGTGGGAGGCAATACAAAGACATCTCTCAGCTCCCCCATGGATGTGGCTCCTTCTTCCTTCTCACCAGCCTGTTATAGACAGGAGCACTGAGCTACACCACAGCAAGTCACAGTGGGACTAATTGATAGACCTGATCATCCTCTCTCTTGACTGTGGCCTGTTCCCACTGAGGTCCAATTGAATCCCACAATTTGTAATTTAAAAAAATCACAAGCCACGTTTGAGTGTTTTCTGTATCAAAACAAAAGCCTGTGCTCCAGGGCAGAACCATGTTTCTCTGGCTGGAATCCCCTGCCTCCAGGCCTGCAGCACTTTCTCTCTCCTGGGTTGCAGTTTTCCTAAGGACAGAGGCCTTCCCTGAAATCCTAGAGCCACCTTACCCCGTTGAAAGGTGCTGGAGATGTTGATGTATGTGAAGTGCTGTTGCTGTTGAGCAGGGACAAGACTAGGAAATGGCAGTCTTTGAAATGAAAAGTTACTGGACAATATGAATGAGTTTTACTAAGACCAAAAATTGGCCAAATGCAGTGGCTTACGCCTGTAATCCCAGCACTCTAGGGGGCTGAGGCAGGTGGATCACTTGACGCCAGAAGTTTGAGTCAAGTCTGGGAAAATTGAGAAACCCTATCTCTACCAAAAATACAAAAATTAGCCGGGCACGGTGGCACTTGCCTGTAATTCCAGCAACTCCGGTGGCTGAGGTACCTGAGTAGCTTGAATCCAGGAGCATCGCTTGAACCTGGGAGGCAGAGTTCACAGTGAGCTGAGATCATGCCACTACCTGGGTGACAGAGCAAGACTCTGTCTCAGAAACAAAATAAACCCAAAAAGACCAAAAATCATCCCATAGAGTTAGCCCTGGTTGCAAAAGAATGTGTGTGAGAACTAGACCGTCTGAGTAAAATGTAGGTAATGTGAGAAACGGTGTGACTTGCTTTAAATTCTATGACATGAACGACAAACGCAAAAGTAAGGGCAGTAGGTGGTGCAGGCAAGGGAGGGTTGTAATATGAGCAAAGAGGTTGTTAGTCTCCAGTCCTCTGGACCCAGGACACCCACCCAATTCTCCTGATGGAGATGGAAGCACCTTGGAGTAAAGAACAATGCATCAGATGAACTTGACTTGATGCAACATTCAAATGTGAACTCCACAAAGGCTGTGTGACTATGTGGGTTTCTTTTTACTGAACTTCCCACATCTAGGACAGTGCCTGACAGTAGACCCTTAAAATGTGCATTAAATGAATTAACTATGGCTTAAGGACATGTCATAGATCTCTTCTTTGATTCTGATTGTCTTCTGTGTGGACCTATTGAGCAACGAAGGGATGTCCAGTCTTGGGTCTCTGTCCAGAGAGATAGAGAATTTTTAGTTTACCAGCTTTTATGAGATTGACCCATGGATAAAACCATATTCCTTCCTGAATCTTCAGATCTGAGGACACGATGGTGGGCCCAGGGTGAGACCACCAACATGTGTAAAAGAGCCCTGGAGCAGGAGGCAGGAGATTGGGGTCCTAGTCCCTGCCGTAGAAAATCACTATGTGATGTTGATGAGTCACTACATTTCCACCCTGCCTTTCCAGTTCCTTCAGTTTTCTTGATTATTGGACGAGGGCAATAGTTCTTAAACTTGGCTGCACGTTAGAATCACCTGGGTAGCTTTAAATAGTCTTGTTGCTCAGACTCTACTCCAGATCAATGGAATGAGAGTCTCTGCTGGGGGCCCTTGACTTCAGTATTGATTGATTGATTTTTATTTTTTAGAGACAGAGTCTGGCTATATTGCTCCAGCTGGAGTGCAGTGGCTATTCAGCCTTGTATGATTGGGCTCAAGCAATCTTCCAGGATCGTAAACTCTGTTTTAAGTGTGCAGCAAGTTTGAGAGCTGGTGGACCAGGAGACTCTTCCAGCTGAAACGTCTATGACTCCAGCTGAGGTGAGACTAAATCCTCTGTGAACACACCATCTGAATTCCCCCTGGGATGCTGGGCCGGCTCTCTCCCCTCAGCCCTGGGCTCTTACCTCTATGAGCTGGTAGCCTAGCTTGCAGGTAGCAATGAAGTAGTCACGGAATTGGTACTGAGGCTGCAGGTTCTGGATGACAGTGAACTCGTCTAGGGTCTTGGGCTGGGGACACTTGATGACTATTGGGGAGACCAGAGGGCGTATTTATTTGAGAGCCACCTGCCCTTCCTTCTTCCCACTTTTTCTCCATTGCTGGCCATTGAGGGAGGCCCCCAGGGAGCCTTACTCTTGGTGGTGTAGCACAGCTTCCAGCTCCGGCTGTCCCCTGACTCATCTGTGAAGAACAGCAGATCCACAGCATTGTTGCTGGTGTCAAGGTCGGGGGGCCTTTGCTTCCCACAGAACTCGCCAATGTTCTTCCCATTGGCATAGATCTGGTAGGGGAGGAGGGTTTTTTTGTTTGTTCGTTTTCCAGCGTGGACATTTTTACACAGGGCCAACTGTGTAGTAGCCTGGTGGCCAGGGTGGTGGTGGTGATGAAATCCTGCCTTATGTGTGTTTTCAGGGGAAGGTGGAAAGGGATCCCCACAACCCAATTCCAGTTATTGGGAACTTGCCCAGCCCATGGGTGATGTTGGCCAATTCCTGCCCCAGCTGGCCAGGGGATCCAGGAGGAAGTTGAGACAAGAGGAGCTAAGTGCAGACAGAAGAGGAGGAAGGGGTCTTTCAGGGGTAGGACGGCTGTACCTGTAGCTGGTCATAGGGGCAGTGTACTTGCTGGTGGTCATCAATTTCAAAAGGCTCCACGAACTTGAGGTGCAGGGTGAGGCCCCGCTCTACCCGGATGCTGTAGTCGCAGTGCAAGTCAGCGGGGTAGGACCGGCGGTACTCCAGGCTGGAGATGTAGCCCGATGCCTCCATGTACAGCTCGCTGCTGCACTCAGCTGTGAGAATAGAGCCGCAGGGCATCATGGGGCCACTCTGGCTGGCTCAACCCTGCCTCCCTGCTCCACCTCTCTGGCTCACCCTGGCAGGAATACCTGTCCTTCTGAAGCTCATAGCCTGGACGGCAGGAACAGAAGTAGCCTCCAGGCTGGGCACGGTGGCTCAAGCCTGTAATCCCAGCACTTTGGGAGGCCGAGACGGGTGGATCACGAGGTCAGGAGATCGAGACCATCCTGGCTAACACGGTGAAACCCCGTCTCTACTAAAAAATACAAAAAACTAGCCAGGCGAGGTGGCGGGTGCCTGTAGTCCCAGCTACTCGGGAGGCTGAAGCAGGAGAATGGCGTAAACCCGGGAGGTGGAGCTTGCAGTGAGCTGAGATCCGGCCACTGCACTCCAGCCTGGGCAACAGAGCGAGACTCCGTCTCAAAAAAAAAAAAAAA